CACCTAAAGTATTGTTCAGTTAGTTTGACAATTTTGATAACACTTTCAGATGCTAGTTGAAAACCTCGGTTTTTTTTATTTATTAAGTTATTAAATGCTTTTTTATTTTTTGACAATAGTCATGGTCATTTATGTTATTTGATACATCAAATCTTACACCACTTATTTTTTATACAATCATATTTTAATTAATTATATATAATTATACATGATATATTATGTATAATTCATTTTTCAATATATATTTTTAAAATATTATATTTATGATTGGATTTTAAATACCCGCCAAATGATATATTAGATGGGTATCACGTTAATCATATTCTATGATAACATTACAGAGCCCACAACCAAGACCAACATGACTTTTTTTGGCGTCGACTGTTATCACTAGTTAGCAATCTATATAGTTTATTATCTATATCTGTGATGATCATAGAATATTCTATGATATTATCTAAAGCTTAGGATATTTCTATCTCTGTCTTTATTGACAATACGCCGTATTGTATTAAATTTTCATTGCTTACCGGCTGGCAGATTGTAATCGACGAACGTTTTTTGAATCGTGTTTGTAGTATAATTTATAGTAATTTTTATATTATATAGACCATAGGTACCTACAATTCAGGAAACAATTAAACTTTGGTTAATTTTTGCAATGTTTTAATTGTTCCAGTATATAAGTGGTATAAAGAATGATTTATATTTCACAAATCACTAAATCAGTATGAATGTTAATTGTGATTGATTATTTCGTAATTTTATTATTGTACTATACTGAAAATAAAGTAACTTTTATAAAATTTAAATTGTTTATTATATTACATGAGAAATGTCAGGATCAATATACAATTCCCTATCCCCCCTGACATTTTTATATACGAGCATAAATTATTTTTCAACATACAATATCCATGAGTCATGACTAAATGTTAAACAATTCAATCTGTAATTTTAAAATTTTAATCATAAACCTAAATTACCATATTCTCCCCAACTCCCCTTCACCACCAAACGGCAAACACTAGTTGAAAATTAATTTTTTTCAAATGATTTCTTCCTCCACGCGCAGACACACACAAAATAAAAATTCTGGTTGTGCCACTTATATTAACTGTCCGTTCATTCAGTAAATCTAAACTTTGATTGAAAAAATATTTCCCTTTTCTTAAGATTTTTATGATAAAATTAATTATAAAATTTAATACAGTTTCTTGAAAACTAATAAATATTGAATGGAAAAGTAAATTTATCATAGTTATTTCATTTTTAAGACCATTGTGTTCCATTATGTTTGCGTATACTATGTTTTTAAGATAAATAAATAAGTAAATTATTAAAATACATACATCAACAACAGATTTTTATTGCTAAAAAAATATAAATTGGTGGCCAATTATCCGGCCAAAATAGCGAAACAATAACCGCGAATTAATAATGCCGAAAATATACGATTAGGCATCTAGTGACAAATTATATGTTACACCTTTTACAAAGTTATTATTATCATTAGTATTTAGTATTATAATTTGTAATTAACAAATTAGGTCTTTTAGCAGTTTTTTTTTGCTACACACCATTTTTCTAACCAACGAAAATATTAAAAACATAAAATACAAGCCACGAACTGCAGCTGAACTACAACTGTATGAGTGTATTAACTTGTCATGGCTCAAAATATAATAAAAATCTTATCTCGGTATATTTCCAATATGAAAATAGTTATAATAGTAATATTAAGATAATAAGATACCACATTGACGATAACCCGATATGTCCGTGGGTAGTGGGTATTGGGTGTCTGGGTATAGTGTACCAGAAATCCTAGGTAAAAATAAGTTTTATTAAGTTATATAATAAATTTTATGTTTTGAAGTTTATCGAAGTACCATATTAAAATTTAAAGTATTTGAAAAAGAAATTATAAAAGTGTGCAGTTTCGCTATTATGCATAATTGCTTATTTTAAAATTCGCTATTATCAATTTGCAATTTTTACATTCGTGGTAATTGTTTCGCCATTTTGGCCTAGATTCCAATTAATCTGAATTGGTTAATTTCTGAATGCAGGTAAGATTCAATGCTTATAAATCAAAATATGTATTTACATATTATGAATAAAGAATAAATATTTCGTAGTTCAATTAAATAATCAAGCATCAAGCCACATAAATAGTATTTACAATTAGTTATGTATTACTGTATTAGATTTTGACAATGACAAAGCAATGACCTAGAAAAATAAAATACGTTGGCACCATTTGTAAACAAAGAGAAACACTTAATATATTTACTATCTCTTTTTAACATTCTTGTTCGGGCAACACTGCGTGGTAACGGTTAACGTTCCAGGCTTCCAGCACACTAGACTTCCACACTCCATACTACAACCAGTACAACCATACTACCTATTTAGTACAGAACATAGATAAGTAAATGTATATGTCTGTCGTGCGTTCCAGTAACGACGATCGTGATTTGTACAAAATAATGTTATCACCAATATCACCTATCGTATCAATTTATTTTGTAAACAGTCGCCTCTTAGATAACGATTGACGTATTTTTTTTTAGAAACGTTGTCTAGGTATCTAGTAATTTTTATGTATTTGTGGATAACTAAAATACCTATGTTTTATGACTTGACTGTGAACATCACAGATTTAAATATTTAATAAAACCGACTTTAAATTGGCCTATACAACCCGTGTTCATGTATTTCATTGAAGCCAACAATCCTCCATTTTAATTAAGGCTAGAACTCCATATCAAATATTATCTATATTGAAAACAAATCACCATTTTTTTTGTTTTTAGTTATAATTTCATATTTAGATATTCATCTAAATCAAAAATTAAATAAAACGTAAAACAGGTCATCGTCAGTTTTTATAATTGTAGGTACCTATTCATATAAGATATTGTATACAATATGTTCTACATAAATTAATCATATTAAATTTAAATTATGGAAATGGATTGAAAATCTACTAAGTTAAAGCAAATTTATTTGTTGACTTCGTAGGAATGATAGTTATTTTAGCAAAACATGAATCGTATGATCTAATTAAACTCGATTGGAACGCGAATTTTTTTTATGACATTCTGTAAACATCTAATAGTAAGTGAAACTTTCTAAAAAACATTAATTGCGTAGGTAGCTAGAAGATAGGTAATTTAACTTGTTTTCAAAAATAAATGCAATAATTTGTTCATAAAACAACAGGTTGGTACACGAATTGAGTCCAGCCTTATCCAAACGACACGAACTGCGTCAATAGAAATCTTAACGATAAATCATCTAAACTTATGTATAGAGCAATGGGGCTTTATCCAGACATTCCGACAATTACGACTTATGATTTAATCTTAATGTGTACAATTTATACATCACGCTAGATCATCCTCAATTCAAAACTGCCAGACAATTTACCTGGTTTACATAATGTTTTATTGATAGAAAATATACTAACTAATCAAGATAACAATTTTACATTAAAGTACGAAAATGAAAATTATAAAGTATCTTTATTACTTATTAGTTATTAGTATTTTATAAACTATTTACAATTTAAATTAAAAAGTTTATTCAATATTTTACAACTTTTAAAAGTCGTAAAAAATAAAAATGATTACCACTGGTTAAAAGTTTATAATAGTATGTTATACTCAACATAGTAATACACCCAAATATATTTCAATTCATTCATGTTTTATAAATGTAAGAAAAGAAACCAATCAAACAATGTATTATTCGTGTAATTAAAAAAAGAGATGGTACGCGAAAAAGACAAAGTATGAAAATATCCAACTAATCCGTCTTGATTATAATGTTACTAAGGTATATCGTTTTACCAGTATTTTGATTTCTAATTTCATATTTACATTTTTTTTTTTTTTATAATTTATAATCTTATTACATTCATATAATTAAATTCACTTATAATTGCATAAGGCACATATCAATGAAAAAAGTTATTTTTATTAGCCTACCGATCAGTGGCATATCCAGCCCACCATAAGGTGGAAGAGGTGGAGGGCGAATATTAAAACCAACTTAAAATTTGTTAAGATTCTTTTTTCTAAGTATTTCTTCTTCAATAAACACCGCTTACGGGGAGGTGTCCATAAAAAGGTACCGCGGAAGCAAGTTTGGGAATCATTAAAATATAAGGTTCCTCGTAATAGTTGCAACATTTGTTCATTATAACATATTTTTTTTAATTATATAGGTAGACGCATTCGTTTTACAAGGATATCTAAGTATACTATGTTCAAATTTTAAAGATATTTTTCATTACGTAAATGAGTTAATTACTTTTTCCGTGAGCTGCATATTGATAAAATAACGTAGAAAATAAGTAATAACTATTATAATACATTTATATGCATAATACATATACATTTTATTTCATACAGTACATACATTACATCTACGATTATGATTTTAAAAGTTCAGATTTGAAGTTAATATGCTAAAAGAAAAGAAAATAATTCCAAAGAGGTTGTAAAGTTAAGCTATATGAATTACAAAAATGTAGATTAAAGCATAAAATATAATATGACGTACTGTTGTTGTCTGTCGAATACTATGGTATTCGTATTTCATTTTGTAAGAAATTACTTTGATTTGACAGTCAACAATAACATAAATGTCAGTAATTTTTACTCAAAATGGATATTGAGACCATGAAAATAGCATGAAAAATAAATAAGTATAAATTAAATCAAATTGATATCTTTCTACGTTAGTAGAATAGTATTTTAATTATTAGTGCTTAAAATATTTTCTAAAATGCATCACATTTAATTATATTTTGTTTTTCAAATGGCTGTATAATTGATCAATTGGGTATACAAAGTTGTGTTATTAAATTATACTATATCCTTACATAATTGTTTGTTACGTTGGTAACAACTATATTAAATGAAATACGTCACGACTAGATAAGACTATCATAGTATCATATTATTATCATTGCATGTGTGGTTCACAACTCCATGAGTTTCTACTAAAAAGCTTTCAAATGAATTTTTGATGTTTTAAAAATTATCAATTGAATCAAGTAAAAAATTGTTGTTTTTTAATTATGAATAAAGACATTGATATGTGATGTTAGCTGTCAACAATTCAAAATAGATTTTATGTGACGTAATATTTTTGATCTAATAAATTAGTGTAGGTATTGATAAGGTAAGGTATTTTTTAATATTACATTATTATTGTTATTTTTAACATTTTGTAGATAATCTAAGTTCTCTTCCTTCTCATATTTACCCATAGGTACTTTGAACTTATGCGCTAAAATTCAGAATTCTTGATATTTGTTAATAATTATCTGATCAGATAAACACAGTAATATTGAAAAAGGCAAAAATTTGAAATTTTTTTGTTTATTTTCAATAAAATTTAATTTGAATTATATACCGTTGGTTCATTGTTCAAATTATATAAATAATTTATGCATATTAGGAATAATTTTACCATGACTCGACTTATTATCGTAGTGATTTCCGATTGTACTTCTTTGTTCAACATAATATTATCATAGATCCTCTATTATCTCATTATTATCGTAATTAGTTATGTTGGTAGTATGATATTATTTTAACATCCTTGAAGATTATATGGAATCATAGATAATAAAAGAATGGATAGGCCATTCCTATATTAACATAGGGGTTTACGGGCCGGAATGTGGATGAGAGACAGATTGCTTTTTATATAGTGCTCTCACTTCATTAAGGGGTATTATCATTTATTTTATAGCAATTTTGATATTTTTATACTGATAAAAACCTTTGTAACCTCATTATTCATGTCTGTGCGATAAGGCCTGATGGCCTATTCATTCTTTTATTATCTATGTATGGAATAAGGAGACCAAACTCACACGACCGTCTCATGGATAATATAAGAATTGATATGCTATAGAGGACCCACTAAGATGGATAATGTATTATATATTATCCATCTCGGTGGAAGGACTCGACTTTATCACACGGGCTTTAAATGAACTATTATTTAAGATTACATTACTCATTAACATACATAAGATAACAAACGACTTCTTTTGCTAGTGAGAGACCACTTTCTCTCTTATACGTTAAAGATCACTACCCATATCGGTGCATGAATGTAGCCACGAGGAATATAACTTTTCGTTCCAAGAACATGAGCTACTAGCTGTGCTATCTATTCGCGATCATCGCAAACGTCCCGTAATGAACCGCACAAATAAACGGCCACAGGCTGCGCTGCAATCGCTAAAGTAGCTTTGTAGTATAATTATGTTTTAACTTTTCGGATTGTATGTACATGCATTATTTTTAACCATAACTCCATTTAAATTCAAATTTTATTGTTTGTAGTGTTTGTACATTACGCATTTTTACATAAAGTACATATTATGTGTATAGTCATTTCATAAACAGTCCTTTTTTTACACTGTATTTAGTTATTTCATACCAATACTCTGTTAAAAATGAGATTGGTACACGGTGGTGACTGGTTTTCGCCGGCGGCGCGCAGATCATCTCAAGCTGTGTCGCGGAACAAAACCACGTCCGTGCGCAGTACGAAGCACCTGTACTTATCTCATTTTGAACAGACTATAATATATATCTGTGTACACAGTAAGATTGAGCTTGATGCTATTCGATGCACCATACATTTATGCTGTCACATCCTTGTTTCTTAAGAATTTTAATGAAATATATATGTATGTACAAGTATAAATGAGTAGTCGTACAAGCTATATAATTTAAAAAGGACCAGGGTTCAAAAAAATGCATATATATTTTCCTAAAAAACGTAAGGAAATGAATAATCATTATACTACATGGGTTAAAGTAGCAACATAGCGACTGCAGCACAGCCTGTGGCCGTTGAATTGTGTGACTCATTCAAGACGTTATCAGAAGCGGAGTTTGGTTTCCTTCACGTACCTACCTAGATAAAATGAATCACGATTAAAAACATGCGTTGTCCAAGAAATCTTGAATAGTGTCTCCGAAGTAAATTGCTGTAAATAGCTGTAAATTACCTACTAGTACTCAAATGTTAAAGTGACTATAAATGCAGTTATTATTTAAATATAAACTGTAATCGCGTGATAGTCGATATATGACATATAATCGCTATTGTGGCAATTTCCAGCTGTTTATAACGATTTATTTCGAAGATACTTTTCAAGTATGGAAATTATAGGTCGATTTAGGCTATTATTAGGTGCATGTAAGAATAAATGCTTGCAAAGGCGAATCTAGCGCTACTAATATTCATCTCCTAGTTTATAAAATGAATACAAATAGCGCAAGATTTGCACTTACATGCACTTTTCAGCTATTTAATATTGATTATAGAGATTCATTTCAGTAGATACTTTTTATGTATGGGAATCATGGGTCGATAGGCAATCATACTATCTACTGTCGTAGAATAGACTGGAAACGAACTAGCGGACGAGTGATAGGAGCCGGGCAGCTTAAGCTTTTGAGTAGATCTATGCAGGGAGAAATGCACGCAAGTAAGAATCTAGCGCTACCTATACTCATCAACTAGCTTATAAAATGAATATAGATAGCGCTAGATTCGCACTTGCAGCATACATTTCCCCGCGTGTAATTTTGATTATAACCTTAAGTGATCCGGTGATTAGGCTTTTTATTTCCACTTTTCAGTCTATTCAATCTTAGTTCGTGGTTTCTTTATTCTAGTCTGTAATGATAACATCACAATTATACAATTTATTTGTGTTTATAAAAAGTTTCCTTGTACACACTGTATAAATGTATAGATGTTTTTCGGTGTAACCCATTTACTATAATATTACCAATCGTATTTTGTTGAAATAATTGAATAATTAATTCAATTTTATTTTTTAATAACTGATTTAAATAACTAATTAAACTTATTTGTCAACCCATAGATAATAGAAGCATGAATAGGCTATGTAACCTTATTACACGGAAATTAATTCGTAAATTATTTGAGGTTACAAGAGGCAATAGATAGATGACATCATCATAATTTCAAATTTTTTTTGGAACATAACATAACAAACTTCCTCTTGTGGGAGTGAGAGACTTACTCTCTTCCCCATTAAAGGCCGTGTCTTCTTGTGTTGTGTGTATTAACATGGCTTATCCATTCTTCTATTATCTAATTATCAAACAAATACAATTAAATATCATTATTATTATTATATATGTATATTTATTTTCGATATTATTTCTGTACATTATAATCACAGTGTGGAATCAGACGATATTATGTTTAATTTTTAATTCATTATTATGTGTTATATTCATTATGCAGGTGATTATTTTAAGTGGGTACATTAATTATCTCGAAAATTATTTACTTATTTCAAAATATTTTTTTACATGGTTTCAAGTTGTTAAAAAACCAACGTTTTTATTAAAAAATTATATTTTTAAATATTTTTTATCCTTATCATTTTTAAGTTTTTTACTTTTTTGAATGACAACATAGAGTTTTAATTTCATATTCCAAAGCAGAATATTTTTCTTAGTATTTTGTTTCATAAAAATCGAATTTAGGACGAGTAGTTTATGAGTTATATGTATTTAAAGTTTAGACAAGCGGAATAGTGGACAAACATTTTGCGGGGTAACCATACTACTCCACTCTACCAATCTAAACTTTAAATACTTATAACTCAAAAACTACTTGCCATAAATTTGATTTTTATGAACCAAAATACTTAGAAAAATATTCTGCTTTGGAATATGAAATTAAAACTCTATGTTGTCATTAAAAGTAAAAAACTTAAAAAATTATACCGATAAAAAATATTTTAAAATAATTTTTTAAATAAAAACGTTTGTTTTTTAACAACTTGAAGCCATGTAAAAAAATATTTTGGAAAAAGTAAATACTTTTCGAGATAATTAGTGTACCTCCTTAAAAGAAACACCCTGTATTTACCAAAAGGGTATTATATCTGTTGATTTATAAAAATAAATAAATCAATTAACCGTTTTCATATTTGTAATAAAATTAATTTCTATTTCAATTAATTTTGTAAAAGAGTTTTACTTAAATTATTTATTTATATTATTAAATACATTTTTTCTCCATATAACATTTAATTAATTATTAATTGTATCATTACTTTTGTTCAATTTTTAACATGGAACCAKTTAATAAAATAAGTATTCAAGTCCTTGGAAAAAAAACAGGGTAAACCTAAGCTTAAAAACTAAACCATAAGTATTTTTATCACAATGATATTAAATTATTTATTTTGTCCAGTACAAATTTTATTATATTACAGATATTTATTTTATTTACCCAATTTATACATATTATAATTACACATATAATGTAGAAATAACTACAAGCAGTATAATCACTAATTCAGAAATAGAAATTATACATCCTCTATATCTGTCGTTACACAATAATATGTAACTGAGTACATGATAGGATACAAATTATAATTTATAAATATACTTATAATTGATTTAACATTTAGAAAAATACTATTAGAACCCAGATCTAACAATTAACTAAATTATTCATATTTTATTTATTTGTTATAATTTATGTTTTAAATCATACAGTTTATATACCTGGTTTTTTCCATACTTTGAAATTTTCACTATTCATCTGCAAACAATTTTTAATTTTAGATGAAGTTAGTTGATTTATCTAAGTATCTAACTATTTTTATTATAAAAACACCTTTGTGCTAACCACAGTTTATGCCCAATATGGTAGCATTTAAAACTTTCTTGAACAGTAGTGCTTGTTTTAATTTTTTTTTTTTTATTGCCTTGATTTATTGCCTAGAACATCACCATAGAAAAATTGCGTTCAGCAGTATCGATTTTGTTTGTTTGATTGACTTTTCTAAAATTCTAAGGAAGGTTAGAACATGATTTGAATTTATAGTTAATGTGAGTTTTACTTTTTATGTTTTACAAAAGTACACTTATTAAAAATTTGATTAAAAGTTAAAAATATCATGAAAACCCACAAATGTTAACAAATATAATATTCTTACCTTTATCTTTGATTATATTTTGGTCCATTCATTTTTATATTAAAGCCAACAAAACAAAATTAGTTTTGTTGAATGTTTGAACCCAAGTTTCCTATAATGTACGTCAGGAGGACAGTACAGTAAACTACATGTATCTCACATAATATTAAATAGTAGGCACCTAGTTTATATTTTTTTTATTATAAAAAATGATTAAGTTTTTATTTATCCAATTCAATTTAAACACTTGCATCACATTTTATATACTATGATGATAATTTATGCCTATAAATTTATATTTCACAGTTTAAAACTAATACCAATATTATAATAATATACGAACCAGGTGTTATACCTTATAATAAAATCCAATATCCGATAATATGATAAATCAAATTAAWTTTTTTTTGTTATTAGAATTATGGTGCCTATATCAGAAATATTAAGATAGTATTAAAATTGATTTATATAAGTTATATTATTTATATTCATTTTTATTTAATCGTTCATAATTTTTTTTTTTCAGTAAAGTATTTTTGAAGAATCTAAAATGTTAAATCTACGTATATAAAGAAATAATAAACAATTCAATTTGAATATGAATATAGTGTGTTTATGTAGATATTGTATTGCGATAGAATAACTATTATGGTTTATATCAGCGTATAAATTAGTTAACAGGTAAAAAAAAAAATTTAACTATATTTTTATCTTGTAACTTATAAAAAAATAAGATTTGTAAAAGCTATAATATATAAATAATGATTTAAAATCAAAATATGTAAATTAATATAGAATAAAAATTATTCTAAAAGAAAAAATTATGACAAAAAGAAAAAGACCTCAAGAAAAATCTCGTGAAATAACCAAAAATATTAAACTAAGTACAAGGAATAGTTATAATGTGATGCATGAACACAATTACTTTTATGATGTTGATAAAAAAAAATGCCGATGGCCTGATGAAAATGAATATTCAAATCATACTGAAATAATAACAGATAATCATGATGAATGTGATTCTATACCAKATTGGTGTATAGGTGAAAGTTCAAGTGATGAAGAGGATGATACTAAAGATATGCTTCTTTCTCATATATTAAAAAAAGAATTTGAAAAATACTTATTAAATGAGGTAAGATTTTATTAAATAATGTAATGTTTTAGATTACCTATCATAGTTATTGTTTATAATTTCTAAATTCCAGTACAAAAATAAGAATTGCACAAATGGTTTGTTTCCGTTTAATGAAGAAAAAATGTGTAACGAATCAAATAATATAAATAATCATGATTTGTCAAATGTCTCAAATGATTCAAGTAATATAATTAATTAAAATAATTTAATTAACTGTAGAAAACAATGTAAAATAATGCAAATAATTCCAACTTTTATACAAAATATAAATTTAAAAACTTAAATCCTTTTTCTAGGCACAGAATTTCAAGTTAATTTAAGTGATCAATCATGTATGACGCATATTGTTGAGAACAATTGTACACATGAAGAATTATTACCAAATGCTTCAATGAATATAAAAGCAAGAAAAGATTTATGTGATAATAATTTGCAAAATTATTTATTGAGCTCATCATTACATTTAAGCAATTCACTGTTAGTGATAAAAGCATGTCCTTCATTTAATAATGCTGATTTAACAAAAACAGATACACCTACAAACAATGTAATTATAAAATATAAACATATTTACTTATACATAGGTATTATTTATAACTACTGTTCTGTAGTATAGTATAGTAACTAGTCTAAGCAATGGTATACCATGGGCTTAGTGGTGCTGAGTTCCAAAATTTTACCTATGACATTAGACACCTCTACGTTAATGTTTTACATTCACCTATTTCTTAAACTTACCCTACCAAACATAAAACGCTAAGAATAGTTTTTATGTAATGATATCCACTTCTAGTTCAAAATTAACTATAATGTCTAATAATATTATCATAAAATATTTAGAATGACAAAGGCGACTTTCTTACCTAAAACAATTGTCATAGTTTATATTTTGGTGCCACTGGGTAGGCTCAAGGGTATGATTGAGAAGTCGCCCCAAGAGCCAAATTCTGAGTCCCATTCAGGGGTGCTTGTACTTGAGGTTCAAACTTTCAAAGTTCTTAACCCCGATGATGAATTTATATTTTACTATATGTTAAATTAACAATTTTATAGTTTATCATATTGTATTTATTAGGTAATAAAAATAAGTATCATAAATACTATTTTGGCTCCATACCATCAGTTGCACCTTAAATATAACTACTATTTAAATGGCCTAATCTGAAGTGCAGCTTGGATTTTATTATGTTATTTATATCATAGTTTATTTGCAAAATAAAAGTATTTAATTTTTCATAGCCTTTGTTCACTATAGATCTTAATCTGTGCCTGCTCACAATTTAAAACTTGAAAAAAGGATCAGTGATCTTTGTGCGTTGTTATATGGATAAACAATTTTATTAGTTAAATCTTAAAATCTTAAAATGTATAATATGTTATTTATTTTTTGAATTTTTCTCATATTATCCATGTATCTATTATCTAATAAAATCTGTGTTACTAGCTACCAAAAGTCATTTTTTTAAATAATCCTTCTATAAGTATTATATAAACACATAATATACCTACCTAGTTTATTGTTTTTTATTATTATTTAGTGTTTATTGTATATTATTTTATACATAATTATAATTATAAATATTTATTGCATGCACATTTTAGGTGTGTCCACCATTACATTGGATTCATTTAATATATTTAACTATAAAAAACTCTCCTACAGAGAATGTAACTTGTTATGATATACAACGTTCAGTCAGGTATTTTATTTTATTCAACTATTTTCTTTTGATATTAAATAATGTACATTATTATTTTTAGACGTTGGTTCCCCTATTATTGTTTAAGATCATATGTCAAATTTATTGGTGTAATATTAAGTCATATAAATCATAACTGTCAAAAATATTTTCACTGTAATTCATTTACAACTATTATACACCAAGATGATACATGGACAATTAATAGTATCTATATAAATACTTTGGAAGAAAGTTTAATGAAAACTGTAGAAACTTATGAAGATGAAATAAAATCAGCAATGATCCATCCTGGTGATTATATTGATCTATTGTGATATTAATACATTGTATGAGAAATGGGCAAACCATTTTTATTTGAGAGCCAATAAGTGTAAAATAAAATTTGGCTTATAATATTATTATGTTTATTAAATACTTATACAATATATGCTTTATATACACATAGTAATTGTTACTCTTTTTATTTAAGATAATATTTTATTTTATTATAATTTCAGAAGTTTGCCCATTCCTTTACTTTATAATATATTAAATTTTAAGTACTAGAATTTGATCAGAGGTACCAAAGTAAAAATTTTACTTAAGGTAACCCAAATATTTTTTATTGCATATACTGTATAGTGTATTTATTAAGTGAAAAATATGATGTATAATTACCTTGTATTTAATTTCAGATCAATTATCAGCAATACTTAATGGATATGGTGTACTTTATTTGGGGTGTGGCCAAAATGCTATTAAAAAATAACATTTTTTGATATAAAAATTATTTCAATTATAATTTAATACACAAAGAATTAATTTGATTATAATCCTGAAGCTACTTCTAAATGTTCCATGAAACTGTATTAAATTTAAAATTCTAAATATTTTTAAAATAGATTATATGTATAGATCTATAGTATGAAATATATGGCTGCCTAGTTATTAATAAAATACATTCTATATTTTATCTAAGACCTAAATCATGATTTATTATTGAACACAAATTTAAAACAACCATATTACAGTTACCTATTCAGTAAACTGAAGAGGTACTCTCGAAACAGCTTCTTTGGGGAAAATCAACTTTCTCTTTTTTTTCCTTTGTTTTACTCTTTGGTATTCTATTATAATATTCTATTATCTGTATTACTTTGAATTATATAGATCTAAAAAAATCATTTCAACTTAAATGTTCAAATTTAGAACATTATTTTTATATACTGTTCAATTAAAATATCAATACTTTATTATTTGTATTAGCAGTATACCAGTAACTATGCAATATGTCACATTTACATATAACTTGTGTTCAATTTTAAAGGTAACAAGAAATATTTTGAACGCATTACCTCTAGTTATCTTTCTACTAATTTTTACACGCTAGGTTAAAAGTTATTAGCAATTAGAGTAGCTCTTTAAAACCAACTGAAATTATTTGTATTCAATTAATTTGATATTGTAGTAAATACACTAATATAATTAATATAAGAATAGGTATAACACAGTATGTTTTATTCTTCTTGTGTTCATACTTATCATAAATTACGTCTATCTAGTCAATACATAAAACTCTTATTATAATCAAAGATATTGTTTGATATAAGAATTTAATTAGATATTTATTTTAACTGTGTAAAATTAAGGTAATACATTTTTTTATTAAGTCAAATTGTTTAATATTTAATATATTTTGACTGATTATGCATGTAATAACTATTATAAAATCGAGATTTTCATTTAGCATTGTAAAAGTTTTTACATTTTACTCTTATCTAAAACAATAGTTCGTTAAATTAAATTGGTATAATTTGTATAAAATAAATATATATATTTTTTGTAACTACCTAGTGCTAGAATGTTTTTTCTAATTAATAACATCATTTTGCATACCAATTTAATATATTTTTTATAATTATGGACTCAATCCATAGACCTATAAACTAGGTTATCTGAATCTGGAACCCAGTATGTTATTAAAATATATATATACCTAGATATATGAACTAAGTACTTTTCTAATAAAATATATGTTTAATAGTCTAAATTCAGTATCTAAGTAAAAATAAATGTTGAGTAATTTTTTTAAAATTGTTTGATCTATAGTTAGGCATACAGTTTAAATTTAAACCAATACCAATTACCTCCAGCAATGGTCTATGAACTATGACTGAAAAATGTATATAATAGTTTATGATTTGCCTAATAAATAACCCCGGAAAAAATAACCCCGAAAAAACCCCCGAAAAAATAACGACGCGAAAAAATAACCACGGAAAAAATAACCCTATAATAAAAATGATTTGTAAGTAATAAAGTATAAATTTGTAAAACAATGTCAATAATATATAAATAAAAAATTCTCATTATAAACGTGGAATACAATACAATTTGTMAATTTGTCAATTTATATAATATAATAATTTGGTAGTAAAGTATAAATTTGTAAAACAATGTCAATAATATACAAATAAAAAATTCTCATTATAAACTTATATTATGGGTTTATTTTTTCCGTGGTTATTTTTTCGCGTGGTTATTTTTTCGGGGGTTTTTTTCGGGGTCTAAATTTCCGGGGTTATTTTTTCCGTGGTTATTTTTTCGCGGTACCAATAGTTTATATAGATAGCCCAATAATAGAAAGATTGATGAGCATACTCTTCATCAATATTACTACTATTACTTCAAGGTTAATTATTTATTTCGTAACTATTATAGCTGAAAATTAGTTTCTAATCAATTGAACAATTTAGTAGATATTATAATAGGTTTCATATTTTTAAATACAAAAGGTACTATTATAATTTTAAAATTCATGGACATATAAATATAATAGATAGGTAGGTACCAATATATAATATTATGTTTATGGTAAAATTACATATGAGAATTTAAAGGTCATAAATATAATATTTAACCGCTGAACGATATTGGTTAATCAACCTTCAGAGAAATCATTTTTAAGAAAAGAGTTAATCGCTAGAAGAAGTAGAAGTCCTATCTCCTACATGTTGTAAGAAACAATAACCGTGTAAGGTGCAACTGCATGGAATTAAAACGGGCGTCAACGTTCTCTTATCACATAACACGCTCGACGATTATCCTCATTTCACCCACCTGCACTTAATCCAATGTATTACATCCATGCCAAAGTCCCCGTCCTTATTTACAAACGATCCTAAATATTTAAAGCTATCGACTTCACTTATCACATCACCATATATTGTCATTGTTTTCTTATCATCCTTTCAACTTCTTGGTCTCTTCCTCCAAATTCATACTCTATATGCTCTGTTTTATTTCTACTAATCCACAATTCTTTTTCTTCAAGGGCTAACCTATTATTAAAATTTTCTAGATTCTCTCCTACCAAAACTATATCATCAGTAAACAACATACACAATGGTATCTCGCCTTGTAACTTCATCACCACAGCTAGAGAACAAGTAGGGCCTTAGAGCTGACCTCTGACACTAGTACTCGATCCTTCGTACATAACTGAATCAAATCTATGTACATTTTTGAGATACCTTTTCTCATAAATGCCCTCTTTAAAACTTGGCACTCTGTCATACGTCATTTCTAAATCTATAAACACCATTAATAGCTTTTTATTCTTTTCTCTCATCTCTTTTTCTTACTTGCTACTACTCTCTGAATATCCTTATCCCACCACCATGTTTCCTTGTTTTCTGGCAAACTACTTTTAGTTTCACCAACAAGCTCTTTTGCTATATTCTTAAACAAAAGTCGCTATCCTTTTCCAAATATCATATGATGATGCAAAATCCAAAACTTTTTCTCCCGTCTTATGCTTCTCGCCAAAATCATGCCCTCCATGCATTCTTTCATACTTTACCTACTATTTACGTGTCCATTCATATTTCATATTACCATCAGTCACAGCATCTTCATATCCTGGTATTCCTTGCACAACTTCATCCATCTCTCTCCAAAACTCTTCTTTTTCACTTTATTCAGGCTATTGGTGCCTACGGACTTATTACGTTTAATACCTTGTGAGGATACCAACTTTACCGCAATAATTATTCATCACTTTCCCTTCCTACGCAGAAGGCAGACTACCTCAATTTTCATCTCCTCGACCAATATTACTCCAACATCACTTTTAATACTAGTATAGTATTATCTGAATATATTATCTTATACTCTTCTCCTATTTCTTTTGTTTTCTCTCCTTTCCTCTTACATTTCTGAACACGACAAATATTAACTTTCCTCCTCTTCAACACTTCTCTCTGTTAACGTTCCAAAATTCTATGTGCCTATCTCACTTTATACCTACCTCTCTTACGACATACATGGATTCAGATTTAACCTAGAGCGTAATGACGATGTATCTACACCGTTGACATTATCCGTGTTGGGTAGACCTGAACACATAACTGGTGAAACAGCTACCACACTTCAACATCCAGGCCTCTTCCACCTACGATATTTCCTCTCACTTGTCTCCCCAACGCTCATCTGGGATGGGACAAATCACCTATATGTTTCGATAAGAACTCTTCATCCTGTTTGACATAAATTTAACATCGGCTGTCAACCTGACGCAAACTCATAAGTCACCTCTTACGGTTGGTTGAGGAATTGTGGAAGTATTTTGATTCTCTTCCACAGGGAGATTATATTACAATATATATCTTTTATCCATGTTTACCATGTTTCCTCATCAGGCGTGAACGGCTGGACCAATTAAGGTATTTGGAGAGGTTGTTTTTAAATGGTTGCCATTGATTACAAAAAAATATTAGCTTTAGTAATTATTAATATATTATTATTTAGTTTATATTTTGCTGGACAGATGGCGCCACTGTAATTTAATCATCACCACATCATATTCCTCTAATCCTGTAACTGTTAATTTTTTCTCTCATTGGATCCATCTCCCGAGTTGATATCTTCGTACATTTCCAATGCATTATTCGTGAATATTGGACTGTTGCCCATGATAAAATTTAACTTCGTAGAGTTTTTATCGTCAATGAAACTAGAGTTGAACATATTTATTTACGGGTGATTAGTCCTAATCACCTATCATGTTATTTTTCAAAGCGTCAGGATCCCCTCAGCCATTTTTGTAGAAGATCCTGAAATATTGCATGTAAGTATACTATTTAGTTGATTTATGATATTTGAAATCACTGAAAGCTCCGATCTGGTGATTAAGTGTTTGTGAGTGAGCMACGTTATGTATATGGAGCAGCCTGTGCGTAGTCGATTTAAGACAACTTTCTGTCATTTGGGTAATGAAAAGGTTGGCCAAGTATGGATAATGTTTTTGATTTCGTTCAGTTTAGTACGTAGTGTTGCTCACATGCCTTGTCATTGGTTTAGAATTAAGGGTTGATTATTTTTTTTTTAATTTTGGTATGTGTGTAAACGAATTTAGAGCGAGTCAGGAAACGAAATGGCTTGTTTGAAGTAGATATCGGCCAATTCTTTCCCTGAATTCCGACTTGACTTGTTATCCAGATTAAGAGGATATTTTTTGAATTTTGTCTGAAAGAAGATATTTGATTTTAAATTTTTCTGGATGAGTTATTGGGCTGATGGAGTTTTCCATGTTAATAAGATCGCTTAAGGAATCGATGAGTATGATAGCTTTTTTACTTTGATTTAGTTTTATGATATTAAGGGAATGCGATATAAGCGAGAACTTTGGCCGTAAAAATTGAGTAAATTCAATGTAGAAAGTGCATGACTGTCTATTTCTATTTATACTGTTCGTATTTAGGAATGATTCATCATAGTTATTGTCGGAGTTATTAGTGAAGAAAAATTTTTCGAGAAAATTGGCAACTTCAACTGGATTGATATATAACGTGTTGTCGTTTAAGATATGGGTGTTTTTCTTTGATGAGACTCCGTAGGGTACTGTTTTGTTACAGACCGAAGTGGGGTCACTTTTGGATCCTATAGATAAGATGAATTTCTGCCATGAGTTTAATTTGTTTTTTTTTTAACTAAAAAACGATTTGTTGCGTGTAGCTGTTTGAGTCTTATGTGTTCATCAGTATTGATGGTTTTTGAAATATTTTTATAGAGCTGTTCTTGTTTTGGATATATATCTTTATTTTGAGGTTCTACCAGGGACTTTTGAACTTTTTGTTGTGGCTTTTGATTTACCTACTAATGTATTGGCCGCGTTTGTTACAGTGGCGGTCCTTGACCAATTCCGGGGGGGGGGCGATCCACCCCCCACCGTAGAACCGCCACTGGTTTGTTATGAATTCTGTTATATGGGTAACATCGTTTTCGATAGATTAGTCTAAAGAAGGTGGATTTGTACAATTCTACAAGTTGTAAAAATACGTTCCGATTATTTGTGTACTCTAGTTTCAGTTTTATAAAATTTTATCGCATTATCAGGTTGATATCCGATCGGTAGGATGGATAAAAAGCATTTTACAAACGAGCATAAATTGTTTACCGCGCGGGAACGCTGATATTTTTTTTTTACATACAGTTACTCATTCTATTATTATAAGTTATAATGAATAATTATCACTTTGGTACTACACAAACATTAACAAGACCTAATGTATGTGATTTAAAAATTGCCCTATTCGAACTCCTTAACATTGGTAACACAGTAGGTTAAATTAA